ACTATTTATATATATGTAATATATATTTATACATAATACCACAGAGTCACTGAAAGACTGAATGATATAAAATAAAAATAACTTTTACAAACACACGTTTTTTTAATTTTTTATTATTTTATTTGGAAATGTAATTAATGGATTTTTTTTCAGTACTATGTGTGAAAAAACATCTCTCAAATGACTACTATTTATATATATGTAATATATATTTATACATAATACCACAGAGTCACTGAAAGACTGAATGATATAAAATAAAAATAACTTTTACAAACACACGTTTTTTTAATTTTTTATTATTTTATTTGGAAATGTAATTAATGGATTTTTTTCAGTATTATGTGTGAAAAACAACATCCCTCAAATGACTACCATTTATATATATAATATATATTTATATATAATACCACATGGTCACTGAAAGACTGAATGATATGAAGCAAAAATAACTTTTACAAACACATGTTTCTTAAATTTTTTATTATTTTATTTGGAAATGTAATTAATGGATTTTTTTCAGTATTATGTGTGACCACTATTTATATATATGTAATATATATTTATACATAATACCACAGGGTCACTGAAAGACTGAATGATATAAAACAAAAATAACTTTTACAAACATACGTTTTTTTTAATTTTTTATTATTTTATTTGGAAATGTAATTACTGAATTTTTTTTTCAGTACTATGTGTGAAAAACAACATCCGTCAAATAACCACCATTTATATATATAATATATATTTACATATAATACCACATGGTCACTGAAAGACTGAATGATATAAAACAAAAATAACTTTTACACACATTTTTTAAATTTCTTATTATTTTATTTGGAAATATGATTGATGAATTTTTTTCCGTATTATGTGTAAAAATACCTTTAAATGACCACTCACAAATACCCACTTTTTCAAACCCTTCAGTTTTTCAGTGGTCACTCTGTATATACACGTATGCAAGTAAATTGCTTTCTTTACTTTTCCTAGCTGCTAAATTTAAAAAAGAAAATAGGGAAAGTAATTTGACCAGAGTGGGAATTAATTTTCACCAGTGGAGGAAGACTGAGCGAGCAGTTCGAGCTCAGAAGATGTTTCGCGCCGCCTCTGATTTAAACCGTGGGCTCTGTTTTTCATCTTTGACGATTCGGTGAGAGTGAAGATCAAGAACAATATCGGTGAACGTAGAAAAAGTCGTGCAAATCATCCGAGCGCGTCAGGCGGTTGAAGAAAATCGACGACGTCGTAGATTCAATGGTGCACGACGCACTTTGCGCGACCGATCGATCGATCGACATCCGCCGAACGAGAACGGTATCCGGGAATACCGGAGGCGCATTCCTGAGCTCGTAAATCGTTGGCAAAACATCTAATCCGTATTCTAACGCGAAACAGCGAGCCGATATCGGTGAAATATCGTTACGAGGGCTGTACACGCGGCCAAGGACCCGTCGAACTCGGATCGATGTGGGGGACTGGCTGTTGGTGTGGTTTCGAGGGATCACACAGGCCAGGATTCGCAAATCGATCGACCTTAATTCGACGTAAGAGCCAGATCGAACCGGGAGACCTCTCTCCCGCGGCTCCTTCACCTCTCAGAGAACGCGAGGGAGAGAGAGAGAGAGAGAGAGAGAGAGAGAGAGAGAGAGAGAGAGGCTGGTCTCTACCTGATTCCTGAGCTGTTGAACGCGGACAGCCGGCAATTTCGTCGTCGTCGTTCGTGTGTTGTGCGCACGACCTGGTGAAACCGGCGGTACAAACGAGACGCATTCACATGGATTCACACAATTTAACAACACCGCATGACAGAGTACTGGCTCGGAGATAAGGTTCTGGCAACACAGGCAGAGATGCTGAATCGCGTCGTAATGAATGGCTTCGGATGCGGATCCGAATGGCTGGCTTCTCCGACCGGAGATACACGCTTTAACGAACCCTTTCGATTAGGAGGTGCCAGAGAGAGTTTGAGAGAGAGAGAGAGAGAGAGAGATCGGTGATTTTGAGGGGGAAAACCGCGGGTAAAAATGAACGCGGTTGATCCGTGGGTTCCGAGGTTAGAAATCAACGGCTGAGGTCAAACGATGCTGGATCGTGGACTCGTTTAGTTTCCCTCGTCGGAGGATCGTTTATCTCGATTTAATTTCTTGCATTTCTACTTGTGCGTAATTTTTTTTAAACTACAATTATACCAACAGCGTGAAAGGTTCTGGCTTGGCTCTCAGTCTCTGACTTCTGTCGTAGAAAATCCTACAAGAATCGTGGAAAGTTTTCTTACCTGCGGTTGAAGTCTGCGCGAAAACGTAACAGCTAACCTTCAACCGCAAGTGGTAACGCCTCCGTAACGACCAGCCGCGCATCCCGATTACCCAACTTCAACGTTTGCCTAACCTCCGTTCCCACGAGCACCCACGTACATGTTAGTCGAAAAAGAAACGTTTCGAGGGAAAGAGAATGAGAGAGAACGATCACGCGGAACGAGTTGTTCCTACAGCAGAGCTGGGCGAAACAACGTCTGATTAACGATTGACACGATGATGATTAATACGCAATGAAAATATTAGTCATTGATTAACAAAATAATTAATAATCAATGAATATAAATTTGTTAATAAATCGCGAATCGACTGTTCGACAACAATCTTAATAATTTAAATAAAAAATATAAATTTATTAATAAATCGCGAATCGATTGTTCGACAACAATCTTAATAATTTGAACAATTGACAATTAATAAAAAAATATAAATTTATTAATAAATCGCGAACTGACTGTTCGACAACAATCTCAATAATTTAAAATTCAATCGTTTAATAATTTAAAACTACCGATTAATAACTACAAATTATAAAATTTAATCGGGATTACTGAGTTTCTTTAAAAACGATTAATTGAAACGACGATTACGAAAGCACGATGACTGCTATCTAATAATATTGATTATTGCCCAACTCTGCGGTACACCGAGATGTGGCACGCGAAATCAGAAAACCGCGAGAAGAAAAAAAAAGAGAGGATGGAATAGAACACATAGAAGAGAATATTTTTAGAGTTAACTATGTGTGCGCGCATGCTGTAAATTTGTAAATTTGTCACTTGTAAATTTGACGAAAAGCTTTACGTGTCTCAAATTATCCACAGCTCACGATAAAAAAAAAAAAATAAGATTCTTAACACGTTTGAGACAGCGTCGGTCCCTGCGGATTGACACTTCGTTATTCGTTTAGCCGCGGACTGACGCTTCATTATTCGTTTAACTGGTACCGGACACTTTATCGAGTCTGGTAAATACACTTGCTCTTCGTTAATATAAAAAAAAAAAACCTATAATTCATATAACCACAAAAAAATACACGTTCGTGTCAGGAACGTGTTAAGAATGTAATTCCTCCCTAATCTCTCCTTAATTCCCCATTTATTTAGAATGGCGCCGCGAGTTACTGTCCGGCAACTTTAACGCAGGGAAGATAGTAAGCACAGCGTTAGTCCGACGATTATGCAATAATAACGTTTCTTCCCGCCTAATCGGTGAACACCGGCCGTAAGTACGATTAATGAAACGGTTCTCGGGGGTGGGTGCACGCGTCTCTCGCGCTGAATTTATTGGCCATTACTCCGCCGCGACGAGCGGGCATAATTATGCAAATCGCTCGGGGTCCGCGTAATCGGGCAAACACGCGAGAGTCCGACGAATCAGTTACCAAGGCGAACGCTCGTTCCGGATTGTTTGATCTCGTTGTTCAATGTTTGCAAGACGCACACCTCTCCCTCCCCCAACCCTTCCCGACACGTTATTTAACCATCGAAGGATCGATCCTTCGTCACGTCGAACGGAAGATACGATCGTACGAATGGACACACGGATGGGTGTCTCGTTGATCCAGTGCCCGTTCAAGTCGAGCACAAGCGCGTGTTGAATTTGCTAGCAAATTCTCTCCCTCGCGCCCTCTGTTTTGATTAATCGTACGGCAATCGAGCGACAAAACCGGCACAATTACACGCCTGAGATCAATCGGAGAGTGGCTCAAGGCCACTCTCCCTTTCCACTTTCCAAATCGGGCAGACCTGGGTGTATTGAAAAAAATCAAGTTATTTAAATTTCTTATTCCTGAAATAATCTATATGGTGATCTACTTCGTATATAGATGTGAGGTTGATTCATTTCTAATTGAATGATTTATTCGCCATCTCGTGAAATAAATTGGTCGCCATTTGCCGGGATCTTTATATGTTGTTTGAATAGAATCTTGACAGAAATAACTTGATTTTGTAAAATCTTCAAGTAACATTATTTTTCAATTATTTACTTCTGAAATAATCTATATGGTGATCTATTTCGTATAGAGAAGTGAGGTTGATTCATTTTCAATTGAATGATTTATTCGCCATCTCGTGAAATAAATTCTTCGCCATTTGCCAGGATCTTTATTTGTTGTTTGAATAGAATCTTGACAGAAATAACTGATTTTGTAAAATCTTCAAGTAAGATTATTTTTCAATTATTTACCTCTGAAATAATCTATATGGTGATCTATTTCGCATAGAAGTGAAGTTGATTCATTTTCAATTGAATGATTTATTCGCCATCTCGTGAAATAAATTGTTCGCCATTTGCCAAGATCTTTATTTGTTATTTGAATAGAATCTTGATAGAAATAACTGATTTTGTAAAATCTTCAAGTAACACTATTTTTCAATTATTTACTTCTGAAATAACCTATATGGTGATCTATTTCGTATAGAAGTGAAGTTGATTTATATCCAATTAGAATCTTGAATAGAAATAACTGATTAATTTCAAGATATAACGTCCAACGTTTATTTCTCATTCTGTGGCTGCGGTACAGTTAGTTACGGCTTATCTGTCAGACACAAGTTGAAATGGATATCGATTTTTTTAACGACGATGGCAGAAATATATTTAGATATGCTCCGTAACAAGTATTTGCAAAAAATGATACATCCTTTTCATCTAGAATAATTCTCGTTTGCAACTTTAACAAATGCCTCTCAAATTTTGTCTAATTAACGGATCAAACGTTCGAAGAACTAGTCCTCCTCCTGTCAAAAGCCAAGACATTCTTGTAACAATGAATTATTTCGATTGTTTTCTTCATTCGAGTATTTCAGTTTCATCGGTATTTATACGTCGAATGTTATTTCAAAAACAAATTTTCAATTCAATCAAATAAATATCCTCAAATAATCAGTTCTTCAATTTATTATTCAGCCAATAAATTATTCGCCTGGCTTCGAATTCCTTTGATCGATCAAACGAGCTACATACCAACAACAATGTTACCTCAATAATTATCGTTCGCCTAGGTTTGAATAGCTCCAGGAGAAACAGAAAGTAGCAAAGTCGACGCTTACGCTCGCTTCACTCTCGCGAGAAATTAACCAAAATTTTCTGTACCAAAATTGTAAAATTCTCAGTAATTTTAAGTAAAACAAAAATATTCAAAGCGAACGATAAATTTATTACTTCTCGATAATTTCCATCCAGATGATATCGTGCCGACGAGTTTTCAAAAAAGAGCGAACGAATTATCGTGCAATTATTGTATACGGTTTGGTCGTTCGTTACGGTCCGCAATCAGCTGCCAGCGCGCAGGGTGGTTAAACTGCGTCTGTCCCTCTTGCTCGCGCGCGAGACGAGCATTATATATCCGTTTCGATTAGCCCGAAAGATCGCCGCGGACGAAAAACAGCGTAATCGCCCGTTTCGGGTGTTTGTCGCCGTTTGTTCGTTAAACAACGCGAGCCGAGCGTCGCTTAACATCTACTTTAGCAGCGGCGTGTTTCGTTGGCATCAGCGATGCCGAGGCCTCAGATGGGGCTCTCTTGGCTCTGTTTAACCGTTCAAATACAACGCGAAGTCAGTTTGGCTACGGAAGGCGGAAAACTTTCGCGAACAGCTTAATGAGCAACGCTTAGCTCGCAGAACAATCGGGCGAACCTGCTGCAATTAAGAGTTCCGTACAGGGGGGAGGGAGAGGGAGGAGGAGGCTGCAGTAAACGTAAATCAGGGGAGAGGAAGGTTAAAGGGGGTCGACGATGGTTGCGCGCGTTTCTCGATGATGTTCGTGAACGTGCGTGTGTGTTTGTGTGTGTTTGTTTGCGTGTAGAAAAGAAAGAGAACAGTGTTCTAAGTGTTTGCGATGGAACGGAAATTTCTAATGTAACTATATCATAGCGTATAAATGTACATATATTTATTTAAAGGGGACGACCATGGCAGAACAGAGATGGACTGGCAACGACACTACGGGGTAGCGTGTAAAAGTCTTGAATGGAGTTTTGTATACTCGCCTTTCCATCGGCAAGACGACGAGTCTGTGTGCAAGATAAGTGACAGAAATTCGTTAAATTAGTGCTGTGTGTCGGTCGGTGTTCCTATCTGTGTGTTTTATTTTCACTTATTTATTTCTTTTCACAGAGAAGAGAAAATATTATTGGGGAAAGTTAGTTGGGCTCGAGTTAGTAGACGCTGAGTAGGCGATAATCTTTCAGATGGAGAAAGAAACTTTCAATTTTCCATATATATATATATATTCGAATTCCATATATATTCGAATCTCCACTCAAAAATTACGCCAGACCCACTCTTTTTTTTTTTTTTTTGGTTGTTAGCTAAAGGCTCTGTTATTGTCGCGAGAAGCTCAAAAGCGTGAATTCTCCTTGCTCGTGTACTCTCGTCCGACTTGACAAACGTTTGGTTGACGCCGTGACGACACTCGTTTTACTCTACTTTCTACATTTCTCACAACGATCCGCTCGAGTTATGACCGCGTGCCACGATTCCAAAGAATCCAAAGAATCCACGAGTCCAGGATCTCTGATCGGATTCGTCGATGCTTGCAAAGTGCCTCGACGAATTTTAATCATCGCCAGTTTCATTTAACAATCTATTAATAATCTAAATTATTATATATATATATATTTAATACTCTAACTATAATAAATTAGAATATAATTAAATATAATAATTATGATATAATATAATATAATTATAAGAAATTTAATAATCCAAATTCCAGTTATTCAAATCAAAAGTTGCTAGACTTGAATCTTGCTTGAGAACAATTCAGAGATATATAAGCCACGTCAATTATCAATCCAATTACCTCGCAACGTCCGAGATTATTCTTAACCGTCGACTAAAAAGTAAAATTATCAAACTATCTTTGACAAATCTTCATTTTATTTTTATATGCTTGTATCAAGGATAATACGTTTCACCAATTTTCCTTGTAAACATATTTTAACCTCTTGCGCTGGGATGACGCCGAGAATCTTTTGTCCCAAAATTGCAATATTTCCTCAGTTTTAAGTATATTTAAGTATAACCCGGGCAAAACAAATAATAAATTTATCACTCCTCGATAATTTCTGTTTAAAATACCCAGTGATGTACCGACGAGTTCAAAAAGAAAGCGACAAATTATTGTACACGGTTCGGTCACTCGTTATGGTCCGCAATCATCGTTGCCAGCGCAAGTGGTTCAATAGACCAGATAGATCGTACGAGTTGTTGCTTTCGTTCAGACGAGAATACACCGCGCGGATGACCAGAAAAAGGGACCAAAAACAAAAAGAAAAGAACAAAAAAAAAAAAAAAAGACTTTCTAAAGACACAGAGTTTGGGTCTCGAGTGCTACGCTCCGAGTTGTTACGTTCGTAACAGTTTAATTAGAGGGACTTACTTGAGCGACTCGATCACGCGATCCTGAGGATCGATCCACTGCATGTCCTTGATCAGCTTCGTGTCGTCGACGTTCGGCTTACACGTGAGGATGATGCTGGAGCCGATCGGCCTCGTCTGCGTATCCCCGTTTGGCATGATCTCCAGGGAAGGCTCCTTAGCGTGAGCTGCGGGCAAAATCGAGACGCAAAGTCGCTCGTTAGATCGTTTGCGCGTGAGAGAAAAGGAAGAAGAGGATGGATGGAATCGTGTCGTCGGGTAATTGCACGTAATTTTCCGCGAGTCAGGGGAAATCGGTGCCGATTTTTCCGTACATACATTCTCTCTCGTATCCGCTTGGTAATCACGGACAGTTTTTTGCGCGAAATCGGCCAATTTCGACTAGGTAGGATCGCGTTTAAGAGGACAAGAGGATCGAGGAGAATCAAACATTCACTATTGTGTAAAAAGAGAAACGACTTTTCTCGCGTTTCTTTCGGGAAATTTCGAGAAGACCGCTCTCTCTCTCTCTCTGTCTGTCTGTCTGTTTGTCTCTCGTGTGTATATGTTATATACAAGGGGCTGAGCCCGGCATAATCTAAAATTTATGATGATACGACGTGTCTTATACGGCGAAACGCAAAAACGTTTGTTGAAACATATTGCGGTAACTTCTACCGTGTCTCGAAACGGACGCAGGAGGCGAGCAACAGAGGGCGAAAAGAGCGAGTAAAAAGTGGTGCAAATTGACACAGAAAAATGCGCGCAAACAGAGAGAACGCAACTCGGTGGCCCGAGAACAAAGAGCGGTCACAGAGGTGAAAAGAAAAAAAAGAAAAAAAAAAGAAAAAAGTTGTCCGCGGTTTGCGACTCTTTTTCGGGACACACAACGGTGCTTGGAAAATGTCGTCAGTCAGGTCCCATTTTTTACAAAATGTTATTTTCATTCGTGAGACAAAGAGTTTCCAAAGAAGCTTCTGTAGTTGTATAACATTTGCACGGAAATTTACGATCAAGGGAAAAATGTACACTAAATTGAAGGAAACAACAAGTGGAGCAAGCAATGTGATATACGAAAGAGAGAGAGAGAGAGAGAGAGAGAAAAGGGGATTACGTGTACCTAGAGGGTGTTTGGAGAAAATTGTCTCTGACTCACAACAAACGTGGTTCCACGCGACACCATGTACCACCGTCGCAGCGTGTTATTGTGAGTCACAACCGCTTTCAAGTTGCAAACCCCTAATCAGAACGGTTGTTCGAGTTGTTCGCTACGGTAAACTTGAACGAGACACGAGACACTATTCACAAGTGGTTCTGAGAATTCAGAAAAAGAACGAGAAACCTTCGTTTGAACCTTTCCAATATTCTCGAACGATGACTTGATGTTCAAAATTTAGATTAATTTTTCGAACGCCATGTGTTGGAAAAAATCACGATTTCAGACGATTATAGAACTACCTGTCCATTTCCATTTCGAAACGAATTATCGTACACATAAACGAAAAGTCAAAGGATCAAGAATTAGCCCATTTTGATCAATAGGGGAGACAATTTCGGATGATTTCTCAGCGTCATTCAGCATCAAAATTCTAATAGAAACTAGAAAAATAAATTATCCTATTGAACAAATTATAGAAATTAGAAAAATAAATTGAAAGAAATCTAGAATATATTCGAATATAAATGAAAAATCGAAGAATTAAGATTATTCCGTTTCGATCAATAGGGGAATCGTTGCCTCGTTGGCAATTTCCGATGATTTCTCGTCACTTAGCGAAAATTCTAGAAACTAGAAAAATAAATTATCCTATTGAACAAATTATATTATAGAAACTAGAAAAATAAATTGAACGAAATCTAGAATATACTCGAATATAAATGAAAAATCGAAGAATTAAGATTATCCCGTTTCGATCAATAAAGGAATCGTTGCCTCGTTGGCAATTTCGGATGATTTCTCGTCATTCAGCTAAAAATCCTAGAAGTTAGAAAAATAAATCGAAAAAAAAACCTAGAATATATTGAACAGATTACAACTGTAACGACACGAAGCTTCTCGATGAAATCGAAAGAGAAAAAACAGCAAAATGGTACCAAAATGGTACCATTTTCAATTTCTTCGTCTCATCGAATGAATGTCAACAAAATGATCAAGATTTACGACCAAGGAAACAAGTAATTAAGTGAAATCACTACGATACGTCGAGAATGAGCTCAAAAACGGATCCGATCGGTTTTTATTCCATTATAACACCTGTAATAACTTTAAATAAAAGCTGTAATAACTTTTAAATAAAATAAAATTTTCTACAGTGTCGGAAAACGACGTTACTTATAGGTGTCCTTAACCACTTGCGCCGGCAACTCGATTGCGGACCGTAACGAGTGACCGTATACAATAATTCGCCGCTTTCTCTTTACTTTCGACCTCGTCGGCACGATATCACCGGATAGAAATTATTAAGAAGTAAATAAACTTATCGTACATTTTCAATATAACTCAAAACTGAGAAAATGTTGCAATTTTGACAAAGAATCTCGACGATTCCAGCACGTCAATTCCAGCGCAAGAGGGGTTGAAAAAAACTTCGCGCCTGTGATCTGAACCTTCTTACCTAAGTGATCAAAGACGCGAGACGGCGGCGTGGCTCTGAGGACGTATATGCAGAGCACGGAAACGCAGATGGACGTCTCGGCGGCGCTCATCGTCGCGACGCGGCCGGGGGCCGGATGGATGCCACGAGTGCTTTTATGGCGACGCACGTGCGTCGACTATGACGCCGGAATGCGGCCGGTTATGCCGCGGCGTGACACGACACGCAACGAGCGCCTCTTGGGTGCCCCCCAAGCGCGCCGGTACGCGCCAACAGGAAGCCAGAATTAAGCTAATTAATCGTGACGAGCGAAAGTACGGAATTGGCCTAACTGGGAAACGTCCCGAGAGCCTATCTGTCGTTGGCGTTCTATCGCGCTTGCTCCCAGAAATATAATACAAGACGGACATTTGGACTCGATTGTTCATCAGTAATTGAGAAATATTATTATTCGATGGTATGTTGGTAGTTGATAATTATACAGGGTGATTAATCTTCTCCGACTGTGACGATGCAAAAAATATTTCTCGCCTAACGTGAATGGGTATCGAAAGATCAGTAACTGGTAAGAATCTTCCTTTTTCATACAACTGTGTAATTTTTTTTTTTTTTCTTCATATGATGTAGCTGGGAAAAAAAGAAATACATTCAGGTACGTAAAGGATTTTGAAAACTTAAACTTCACGTGTAAATTTATCTCTATCGAGATCACAGAGCTTGGCCAAGATGTAGGTAAACTATTTGTTTACTATTTGTTACATCGTCAATGATCAATCTCTTCTAACAGCTTGAAGAACCGAGTATATGCATATCTTCAGAAAATTTCATTTTCCAAAGTGAGCCAAACAATTTCTCTCTAAAAAGTTTCGTCATTTTTTCTTATTGCATAATGTCCAAATTAAGAGATTCTTTACTTTCCCTCTACAGTCCGAACAGTTTCTCTAAGAGCGCCCTTTATTCCCAAAACTCTTGAATTGAAACTCGCTAATTGCAAGTATCTGTTCAAAACAAACAGAAAAAGAAAAAAAGGAGGAAAGACGATTCATTCTCATAACATGTGGGATGCAATAATTCGTCGAAAAAGCCGCGGCACGTCTGTTCGTCGCGCGTGACGCACGAATTCGCGCCTGACGTAACCAATTTCTGCGTGTTGCGAAAATTGAAACTGTGTCAAATGAAACGACTCGTTAAAAACGAAAAAAAAAGAAAAAAAAAAGGAAAAAAAGAGGTGTCGTTCTCGCTTTACAGCGTCGTTCCGCTCGTGGGACGGCCGGCGAGATATTCGCGCGCGTCGAAACACCACGGCAATTAATTCAACGAAAGAGGAACAAACACTCGTTTGGCCAGACGGAACGCGAGGATGTTTTTCGTGGAAAGGAATTAAAGGGAAGAAAGTCTGGCTACGTATATAATTTCCGGTCGGTGGCCAAGGACTGCGTCTCGGCAGAAACTTCTTTAATTGAGACGTCGAAGAAGATGCGTCGAGACTTGGAGATACCCGGACTCTCGTTATCAAAGTATCGGAACTTTCACGACGCGTTTTCACAATGCTAGATTGAGAGAGAGAGAGAGAGAGAGAGAGAGAGAGAGAGAGAGAGAGAGAGAGAGAGAGAGAGAGAGAGAGAGGAGAGAGAGAGAAGACCAGGGGACGTTCTCCTGACGTCGAACGACTCGGAGATGAAGCGTGAAAGACTAGGGGGGAAAAAGAAGCTTCGGGCGATGGGTTTTCGATGGGCGTTTAACGCCAAACCGTACCAACGTCCGGTGAAATGAAAAATTGAAAAATTTCACTTCGAATCGTTCGTTGTCGCTTCTTTCGTTTCTTTTAACTCTCGTACAGAATGGAAAGAAATATTTGTCACGTAGATGGCTCATCACGTAGATGAATTCTACACCTTCGATTTGATGGAGATACATGTAAAGAATCTGCAGAATTGATTTTATGCAGCATGAATTTTATTTATTTATTTATTTTTTTTGTTGTTTTTTTGCATTGTATTCTACTCATTACGAAGGTAAAACTTTTCCAAGGAACCATAACAGTTCTCTTGAAAAATGGTAAAAAAGTTGCTTAATTATCATTTGACACTGCGTGCTAACAGCGACTTTATGATTTTGGATGACGTGGACGTCTATATTACGTAACGTTTATATTTCGAATAATGTTAACAGTTAGTTTTATCATTTGATTATTTAGACTCACACCGATGTTACAACTATGATCAATCAAATGTTAGCGTGAGTTCAGAATCATAAAGTCGCTGTTAGCACGCACGCGTCCACAGTGTTAAACGATTGAGAAACCTTCTCGCCATTTTTCAAAAGAAGTATTAGGTTACGACGAGTAGAATACAATGCAAAAAAAAAAGAAAAAAAAAATTTTTTGATCTTGAAATTCAAGGTGGTCGAAGGTGTAGAGTTCTATGATAGTTATGGACAGACCTTTTCTTTCCACCCTGTAGACAAAAGATATGAAAATATATACAGGGTGATCGGTTAATTCTTCTAAAAAAAATTTTACGTTTCAAACAACAAACGCATCTTTTCAGATAACGAACACCATGTGAAACTGTATTTTACTGTCATCCATGGACGATTAATTCGACTAACGAACAATTCTTTTCTACAATCAAACTTACTTCCGTGCATTGTTTTCTATATTAAATATACAGTTAGCTGTATTATTCTGACCAGTTAAACGTTTACTATTGAAGCTGCAAAATTCTGTTTGCAAATTGCGATCACTTTGCTATGAAATAAAGTTTCGATTAAAAGAAAAAGAATTAGCAACAACGTTTGTTGGCCGATGGAACTTTGGAACACCCAAGGTATCGGAGTGGGAGAAATTACGTTTGGAAAAGGGGGCGGAGGCAAAGCCAAGGTAGATAGACAGATAGGTAGTTAACGAGTGAAGCAGACGGTACGTAATTCGAGAGAATTCGTCCCCGAGCTTACGAGAAGATGACTCAAACGGAAAGTCCAATTTTCGGTCTTATGGTCTGCTCGTTTCGCGATAAGAAGTTCAGCAATCGACTGAGAGGGCGGCGGGAGACAGGTTTCGGGGTTCGAAACAAGGATTACGGAACCTCCTCCCCTCGTGCTGCAGGGAGAGAGGGGAAACATCACTGGCCCGGGACAGCTTATTTGTTGAAGTCGACCGGGGGAGAAACAACGGCGCACGGCTCGCGATAAGGCTCGCGAATTCATCATTTCCGGATCGGATAGTCAAAAGAGGGGAGAGAACGTGTGACGCAAAAGAGAAGAGAGAGAGAGAGAGAAAAAAGTCGTCTCTCGTCTTTCTACGTAGTGCCTTTGGGCATGATTAATAAAGACTCTGGCGTAGTAGACGTTCGATTATATAAACGAGAGGCTCGTGGTAATGATGCCCCGACTACCCGCCGGGAAAAGCTTGCCCGCCACCGAATGGCCATTATCGTTGCTCCATTATCTCGTGATTTAACGAAATTTCCGGTTGGAACTACCGGCCGAGGCTTGATGAAGCCTCGCTCCGTTTTAAACGATATCAATTATCGTTAGATCTTAATTGTTTGCACGAGGAGTCTGAGATCTGCGTGCAGTCGGTTATTCAAATCTCAGTTTCGTCGACGTTTTTTTTTTTTTTTTTTTTTCTTTCTTTTTTTTTTTTTTTTTATTTTTTTTTTTTTTTTTTTTTTTGAGTTTTACCAGAGTGCGACGATATTAACACATTGCGCACCTGCTTTCCGCAGATTTTTGGAGCAACGGGGAAACTTTGTATAGTGCATATACTTGTTTAATTCACATTGATAAAATATTCTTAAATATCACTATATGTTTTTTTGTAGTAATATTTAAGAATCTATTTATCATGTATTTTAGATTTTTACTATTATTAACTTTATATTTATATTAACACATTGAGGACGGTATGCTCTGATATAGTATTTTCTCGTATTTTTTGAATTGTTTAATGTATGATTGAAAGGGTCCAAGAGAATGTATAGCATTTAACAAGTGTATTATTTTATTAATTAAAATTATTAATTATTTTTCATTTTAGAGGTAGTTTATTAAATAAAATGAAAATATCTGTAGTAACGTTTCTTGGTGTGACATGTTAGGAAACAATTTCCCTACTTCTTGAAAAATTATATAACATTGTAATATATAATTATATATTATATATAATATTATATAATATAAATTATATATAACGTTGCCTGGGTCGTGTCCCCTGCAACGCGAAAAAGCGTTCCCCGTTCGCAACGTTGAAACACGAGAATTTTCGTCTCCCGTTCGCAATGTGTTAAAAAAAATATTGGACTTGCAGATGTATTTCAAATTTTGCCACAAGTATGTGAGTATTGTGAAAAAACCGGTGATGACCTGATACAATTTCTAAAATTGCGTGACGTATGATCAAAAATTGCTGCGCAAAAAAAAAAAAAAAAAAAAANACAGAAAAAGAAGGAAAAAAAATATTGCCATATTGATTTATAATCTAACAAATTCCTCTATCTCTCTTTCTCTTTTTATTGAGCAATCGTACGCTGTCACTCGACGCCGTGTGAAATATTGCATTTAATTCGATTTGCAGAAAGGAAGAAAAAGGAAGATTCAAGACTCGAGAAATTCTGACGTTTCTCTTCCTGTTAAGTAACCGACGAAGCCGTTTGTAGAAAATTTCTGCAAAAAAAAAAAAAAAAAAAAAAAAAAAGACGACTGTAATCCTCGCTCTTAAAGAGTGCTAAATATCCAGGCCGCAAATGAAAAAAAAAAACGCAAGTCCAGCCCTTTTTAATTCGCCCACTTTGTTTTCTGTCGATGTATCACACACCATTAATATCTCGGCGGCAATATTCCGCCGTGGCACAATGGACGTCGTCCGCCCCTCCCCCCAAAAACCGCGCTTATAATTTATAGCTCGGCGAAAACACGTCGACTGTTACGTCATAACAGGGCCAGCGGAAGATAGCCACGCGAAACCGCCCACTCATCGTTGCGCCCTCGATCATTATGATGTTATACGAAACTCATTCGAGCCGAATATCGTACACAAAGCGAAGATCTACTCTCTCCCCTACGTATCCCCTACGATCGTTTTACAAATTCGTCCCTTCGTTTGTTCGTACAATCGGATACACCGAGTGTTTGCAACACTCGGAGGGAACGACGTTGATATCCAGCCGCTGAAAATT